TTTGTAATTATTGTCACTGTTGACTATCACTAGGATTCTACCAAAAAGACTAATAGAAAGCAGAGGCTACTTTTTCTTAATACTCACTGAAATTTCAATTATCTGGATGATTTAGATAAGAGAATTTTGTGGCCTGAACTCCCAGCATTAGTTGGAATTATGCCTAAATTTCTCATTTTACTTTGCAAATGCAGACCTGACCTGAGAGTTGGAGACAGTGAGATGGGTAACTGGATCATTCTAAAGTAGTGTCCTCTCAATGAAATGCGACTGATGCTCAAATCAACTCTAACTTCTTTCAATGGACGTGCAAGGCCTTTCTTAATTTGGCCAAGATCAACCTTTCTAGCTTTGCTTATTGGAGAATTTCACTGAAGAAAATCAATGGAAATGGTCACGTGGCAGAGAGAGACAAACTTGATGATGTAGAATTTTCTATTTTCCAACTTGTATTGCTTGTCTCCATGTTATGCGAAAGTAGAATTGAGACAAATACCCGTGTAAAACTAAAAACAGAATTACCTCATATTTATATTAGAGGCAAATTGGAGTGAATCAGTTGCTGACTTTAGAGTCAGGAAACCCCAAGTTCCAGGCTTGTGTGTGACTACGTCCAACTACATGATCACGGATGAGATACATCTCTCAGTGTACCATTCAACTAAGAAAATAAAGATCAGATTACGGGGGCAGCTAGGTGGTAGATTTAGTAGAACATTGGACCTGGAATCAGGAAGACCTCAGTTCAAATCTGACCTCAAACATTTACTAGCTGTGTGTGACCCTAGAAAAGTCACTTAACCTCAGTCTTCTCATCTGTAAAAATGGAAATAATACCACCTGCTTCCCAGGGTTATTGTGAGCATCGAATAAGATAATAATTGTAAAGCCGTTGGCATAGTGCCTGGCACATAGTAGGTGCTATATAAATGTTTGCTATTATTATTATTAATCTGATTTGATGAAAGAGGTTTCTACACTAGGATTCTTCTACATTAATTATTTACATCGACTCCCTTTTCCCAAATAAACAAACAAAAATCAATTTTCCTTTCCTTTCACTTGAACAATCCAGATAATTTCTTTAATTTTAAAACTTCAAAATGAGAGCCTACTACAAAATTTAGGAATGTACTTTCTAAATCTCTGTAATTATGGCTCAAAACTTTCAGGGAAAAAAAACTGGGAAGATTTTGAGATACTGGAAAGTATTTCCTTCCAAGAACAACTAACACTTTCAGCTGGCACTTAGAGTGAATTTAGCCCTCTCAGGTCACATTTTCCCCCCAAAACCAAGCTTAAGAGTCAACTTGTACATGTAGCCTTTCCTGATCCCTCAGGCTGGTAGTGACAAAAACAATATTAAAAACTTTTGTGCTTGTTTAAAATATACATACTTGTCCTTCCTGGCAAAATGTCACTTCTTTTTTATCGTTGTATCTTTGGAACCAAGTGCAATACATGAACATGATAAAAACTTACTATTTGAATGAGTGTCCTTAAAAGAATAGAAGAAGTCCTGTAGTTTGAAAGGGCAAAGAAATCCATTGTAAGATGAGAAGGAAATTTGGTAGATTATGGTGAAGGAGTTCTGCCAGTGTCAGGATTCTTTATTCACTTATTCCTTCCTTTGACAAGCATTTATCAAATGATGGCTTTTTCTTGGTGATACTTTATCTGAAGGAATACTTGAAAATTTTAATGATGAAAAACGATGTTTATATTTGCTTGGGTATATTTTTATGAAAGTATATGATGCAAATATGTATCATATATAATTTATATCATCAGGAAAAATATTCAGGGAGTTAATGAAGAAATATTAATTTGTTTAACTTGGTACAGAAATGATACATCAACTAATATAAAATTATTCATATGTAGCTCCATATGATACATAGAAAACACATAGTCAAAGAAAATAGTAGAATTATTCCTTTAATATTATATATAAATTACAACTTGAAGAAATCATATATGGTTTGAATTTGTCCCATTGGGTTAACTAATGGCAGCAGAAAAAAGGAAATAATGTTTAAATATATTCCCCTTGTCTGGATTTATGCATGTATGTATGTATGAATATATGTATACGTATATATATATACATGAATATATGTGTATGTGTGTATATGTATATATAATACAAAAACACAAATTAGATCTGCAAATTCCAGAAAACGTTAATTCCACAGAGATATTTTCCATCTCTAAAATGTTCAAAATTTATCCTCTGAATATATTTTTTTCACATAAGTAGTAGAAATGATACTTAGATAATTATAAATACATGTTTTGTTTTGCTTTGGATTTTTTTTTGGGGGGGTGAGAGTTCAATTTCTTTGATTGCATCCTTGGCTTGGAATTGAAGAATTGACAATTGAGAGATTGTCCTGTGCTTTAAAACTGAGAAAGGCAGAAATACCGGAATACTCTTCTTTAAGGAAATTTCAGATTTTTTTTTAAATGTCTTTCCTGTCTTTCTGGAAAATCTGTGATGAAAAGACATATTCATCCCTATGCCTACAATTAATAGATTACGTCCTAATTTAACCTTGCTGGTGTTTGTGTTTTTCATCAATCAGTGGGAAATTTGATGAAATGCAGCAGCTGGGTTCAAAAATATTTTTGGATGCCCTGTGACATGACATAGTACTTTTCACTTGTCTCACAAGTTTATCATAGGACCATAAAGCTAGTGCTATGATGGTGATGATGGTTATATATTATAGCTGTCCTTTAGCTAATTAACTATGTCATACCCTTTTTGTATATTAGCATTATGCTTGTTACAATTTATTAAAATCCATGAGGACAAGAACCACGTCTTAACTTAAATTTGTTGTTTCTCCTTCCCCTGGTTTGTACACAATAAATCAGGCCTGCACAACCTGCGACCTACATTTTTTGTGGGCCACATGAAATCCTTTGGTGGGCCACAGATTGCGCAGGCCTGCAATAAGTTCTTAATCACTCGTCATTGAATTAACAGAGACATTACTAACCTAATAGAAGACTTGGATCCTGCAAGTATTTTCCTATCAAACATTTTTATTGTTTTTGTTCAGTCATTTTTCAGTTGTCTCCTACTCTTTGTGAACCCTTTTGGGGTTTTCTTAGTAAAGATACTAGAGTGGTTTTCCATTTCCTTCTCCATCTCATTTTACAGATGAGAAAACTGAGACAAACAGGGTTAAGTGACTTAACCCTAGATCACACAGCTAATAAGTGTCTGAGGCCAGATTCAAACTCACAAAGATGAGTGTTATTGACTCCAGGCCCAGTGATCTATCCAATGTGCCATATAGCTGCCCTATCAAACATAAACAAATGCAAAAAGTTTGAGGGTCTACTAAGCTATTATAAAATGTTAGGATTTCAGATTTCACATATAAGTAGAGGGAATATTCATTTATAAACTATAAGGTACATTCAGAGATCCTGAATCAGAGGGATGGAGCACAAGATAAAGCCCCCAATATGTAAATATAACAAAATAGACAGCTTTAGTTTTTCTACTTCTAAATATCAAGGCATTAAAAAACCCCATAGTTAACTCAGCTGCATTACTAAGGGCACTATAAATTGTATCGGTGCTATGCTTTCTGACCAAATTTTCATTCAACACATAGTCATAGTACACTGATGTAAAGCTATCATGTTTTATTTTGTTCCATAAAATGTACATGTATGAATGTTCCACATGCATATCATATCTAAAACATGAACTAATACTTAATTTATCATGTAGAAGAAATATATCTGTGTAACCTCAGCTTCATACATCTGTAATGTGCCAAATTGGGCTCCACCATATGGTAAGTATTTAGCATGGCATTGGATTATGAATGTTAGATTTGGATTCCAAAGGACATGAGATCTAATCCCAGACTGGACACTTAACTGTCTTCGTTAACTTTATCATGTCGTCTCAGCACATAAAAAGGGTTTGATAACACTTGTGTTATCTACCTTGCAAGGTTTAAAGTGTTATTATAATTCATTGACAAAGATCTAGAGGTAAAAGGACTTCAGAGATTTTCTATTCCAGTCCCTTCATTTTACAACTGAGAAAGTTCAGGCTCAAAAAAGTTAGATTACCTACCCAAGGTCACACAACTACTACATAATAGAGCTGGTACTTGGATTCAGCCTTTCTCATTCCAAATCCATTGTTCTGTAGACACACATGTAAGCTGTCATCATTATCTCTAAAGTCACAAATGGTATGACTTCATAAAGCAGATGCCACTGTGCTGGGTACATAAAAGTATTGTCTTCCTTCAAAATTAGGGCACCAAATTATTTCTTTTATTATTTTTCCTGAGAAAATGATTTCTTCTTTGAGCCTCTTCTATACACTAAGTAACAGTCAAAGAGGTAAGAGAAACATTATCCTTTCTCCCTCTCCAAAGAGCAATATTCCAGTCACATCATATCACCTTTTCTCCCTTGGGAGACGCAAGACTCCTAATGGATTGTTTTCTCATTGTCACGGTAGTTTCTGACCCTCATAATTAATAGAGACTTCCACATGGTATAATATGATATGATCACATAGCCCACCAAAATCCTAGTGAGCCATGCTTAACTGACCTCCTGTCCAGGTGTGAAATATACATTTGTTTCAGTTCACATAAATATCTGATTTTCCCTTCCTATGTTTTATCATTCATAACATTTACCTTATAATAATAGCTCTTGAATATACTGAGCCATCTCAACTTCATTTTTGTACTAGCATTTTCTTCCTTCCTTCCTTCCTTCCTTCCTTCCTTCCTTCCTTCCTTCCTTCCTTCTTCTTTCTTTTTCTTTCTTTCTTTCTTTCTTTCTTTCTTTCTCTTTCTTTCTTTCTTTCTTTCTCTCTTTCTTTCTCTCTTTCTTTCTCTCTCTTTCTCCTCTTTCTTTCTCTCCTCTTTCTTCCTCTCTTTCTCTCTCTCTTTCTCTCTCTCTTTCTTTCTTTCTTTCTTTCTTTCTTTCTTTCTTTCTTTCTTTCTTTCTCCATATGTGTGTGTGTGTGTGAGCACATATATTTCACTCATTTATTTACTTTGAATTCAGAAAGCTTTGCGTGTCTAGTAGAAAAACTCAGGCTATGAAGTGGTGATACAAAAGCTCCCCAAAAAAGTCAGCCTCTGAGAAATTAATCTCCATATTGGAGAGTAAGGAGATGGGTAAAAGAGGAGGGTAGGAGTAAAAAGTTGGATTTAAGAATTCCCTTAAAAAAAATCCCCTTGGTAAATAGCACTGGGAATCATTGAACAACATTGTTTTAAAAATAATTTAAAATCAGCACATCTGTATTCATATATGCATTGACATATAGAAAAAAAGCTATAACTTTAAATAATGTTCAACTGTATGATGGTGAGATTTAATGTTTTTAATATAAAACAAACAAACCTGATGTACTCTATCTTATGCCTCTGTAAAGACAAAAATTATGCTAGTGAATAACTACACATATTGTCTGGTTTGACAGTGACTGTAGTCAGCAAATCGTGAGCTGAAAAGAGTTGGTTAAATTAGTAACCTGGAGACCATTTTCAAGGGCATGCAGTTATTGGTACAGTACTTCTCAGTTCCCATTATACAGTTCAGCCAGATAGTTAATAGGAAATTGATGATTTGACTTAATAAGTTTAAGTCATCCTGAAAGCATTCATTTTATCTGATTTACTCATAATGATGTTTCTGAATCTAATTAATGAAATTTTAGTAATTTCAAATAGGAGCATTGGCATCATTGATTTAGAGCTTAGGGCTCATCTCAATCTTATCATTCTCTTTTCCTCACAGGTGAGGAAAATGAATCTAGATGCCCCTTTTGGGTTTTTTTATTTGTTTTGGTACCCACAGAAGGGTTAAAATTTGTAGCTCTCAGTATTTGTAGACATTTGGTGCATGTGGATACAGTAGAATACAATGGAAATATACTCATTCGAGAGTTAGAGGACCTACGTAAAAATAATTCTGGAGCCAACTACTCTGGTTATCTTTCACTTTCTCTGGGCCACCATTTATTCCACCTTAAAATGAGAGTATTAGACCAAATGACCTCCAAGGTCTCTTCCAGCCTTTGAGCAATAATCCTATATCAAGCTTTCTATTTGGTGATTCTTTCTGAAATTCTGTTCTATGTGTCAGTGAAATAAAGAATTCCTATGCCCCATTAATTTTGGCCTGGGCTCCTTGCCAGGCAAAATGGGTGAGAGCCACATAATTTTTTTTCTGTGGTTCTGAGTTGCTCAGAATGGTTGTTTTTTATAGCTGATGATTCCACTGCCCTCCGCTCACAAATTACTCCATGTTAGCCTCCAACACTGTAGCCCAAAGTCCTCCCAGCAGACCTTTTCAACATTTTCCAACACAGGCCTTTCTCTACAGGTTAGGAAGAGTCTAACTGAATGTGCTGAATGTCCTAAGTAGATATTAACAAACCAAAGATTAAGAAGAAGTCAGGTAAAAATAAGCTAACCTCTATCACCTTTTCAGACATGAAAGTCCAACCATTTAGTACTGAAGAAAGCTTTTATAGGTGACATTTATTATCCTTATTATAGTTTCAATTCGTTTGACCCTTTCAAAATGATGATCACTTTTAAGTTTTTACAAGTCATGTGAAACACAAACTAAGGGAAAAAAAATAACCTCTTTAAGCTCATGTTATAACTGTTGCCATTCTGTATAATGTCTCTTCATACTTGAAGTTTTTTTGTTTTAATGTTTCTAATAAACAGTATTTTTCTACCATAGAGCTTATAAAGCTTAAATTGGCATTTTTTTAAAAGTCAGCTCATTTATTATCCTTGTTTTCACCTACTATGTAAGTACTTTAACCAAGTAGCCATGTGATTTAGTTATGGCCTCTGTAGCAATTATGGAACCAAGACATCATAGCAATCTAGCTTTTACCATTAAATGTTCCCATTTAAGCAATCTTTTAGAACACGGTAGTAGGTCACGAAACAACTGTTCCATTTATGTTGACAACAGCACTACATCCCCCAAGGTGGTTTCTGAGTCTTGACTATGAGTAGAACTTATTCCAGTATCTGAGTCTGTGTCATTGGTATAGGAATGAAATACTTTCTGAGTAAAATGAGGGCCTGCCACACTACTATTGGTCCCCTCCAGTCCTTTCTCCCTATCTTCATTAGGTTGGCATCCATCTTTGATGCTGAAATGAAGCGAATTCAGTTCCTCTGCCAGGAGGTCATATTCTATCACTTTCTTCTCAAGCAAGGAGTCGTTATATTTAATCTCTTTCTGGATACCACTTAAGTGAGAATGGATTTTTAAACCAGCTTTCATACTTTTCTCCAAATCATGCTTAACACTTTCCAAGTTTTTCTTTTCTAAGTCTTCTGTAGCTGTCCCTTCCGTTTCTTCATTCACATCTATGCAAATGCTTTTGACTTCTTTGTCTATTTCAGCAGATAGCTTGTCAATAAGCAGCCGGTAATATTTCAATCGTTCTTCCAGCTGTAAAATCCCTTCGCTCTCGCTCAGATAGTCGGGTGTCTGATTTTCTTCTAGCTTCATATCTTTTTGTTGTTTGACCTCACCAGGACTGGGTATTAGATAAGAATCTTGGACGTAGTTTTCTCCCTCATATTCTACCCGATCCAGATGAAATTTTGCTTCACATTTCTCAATTTCCAGATCTAATTCTTTCATTCTTTTGACCTGCTGATGAATGGTGTGGTCCTGAGAAATGATCAAATGCACCAACGTCTCCATGCTGTCCCGGTCTTGTATAACAGAATCCTGCTTAATTTTTGCTAGTTTCCTGAATGTTTTCCTCACGATCCTCTTCTGTTTATCTAGTGGCAACATCTTCATATAATTGGCTGGACTGAGGTCCCACTGTTTTTCTGTGTTCTGAACTAGTTTAGCTTCTGCTGTCCTCCATAATGGAAGTGGAACCAGAGCATCTGCTTTAACAAGGACAAAGTGCATGTTTGGCTGTTCTTCTCCCCAGGCTTTCCAAAGTCTCAGGATTTTTGTGAGTGGAGGAAGGACCCTTTCTGAGCCTCTCCATTTTTCTATGATACAGTAATCACTGGGCTGTCCAAAAAGAAATCGTTTCTCTCCCAAGGTAGCTTCATGTTCTTCAAGCAAAGCCTGGATTACATCAGCTGCAGTGGTACGTTTGGTGAGTCCACAGACAATCTTTTCTTCTTGGCAAACCCAGACGATAATTTCCTTCTCTTCTACATCCATCTCCTTAGGTGGTGATCTAAAATGAAAATAACAAAAAATATCATCTTTCTGCAATCCCATATTAGAATTCAGAAAAGTAGCTGAGCAGTCCAACTCCTTTCAGATTTTAGGTAACTTCCTATCAAAATACATTTACCAGGCTGTATGTGGTCAATAGCCCTTGGTTGTAAAGTGAAAACAAAAACAACAAAATGAGTAATCTGACCACCAATCGAGTCATCATAATAGCTTTTCATAAAATTAAATCTTTAGAAATAGAAAGAATCTAAATGATCATCTAATCCAACCCATTTTACAGATAAGGAATCTGAGACTCATGGAGTTAAAATGAGATGCTCATGGTGACATAACTAATAAAGATCGGAGGCAGGCTTTGAACCTAGGTCCTCTGACCCCTCAGCTTATCTTCTTTTCTCATACTGTCTTCCACCATGCTGTCTGCCACTTGCTATCACAGGATTTAAACCTAGAAGTGGCCATATTGATCTTTGCCCTCATCTTACAGATAAGAAAAGCATAATGTAGAACACATGTGATCATTGATTTAGAGCAGGAAGGGCATGAAATTACCTGTCCAAAGCCACACAAATAGCAAATTATAGTATCATGGGATTAAAGAACCAAGCTTGGAAAAGACCTCAGAGGCTATCTAATCTAACCCCTTCATTCAGCAGATAAGGAAAGTGAGACTTTGGGAGGTTACATAATTTGGCTGATGTCAGATAGTAAGCGTTCAAGGCAAAATTTGAAAACATGTCCTATGATTCCAGAATCAGTGTTTTCATTTTTTGTTTTGTTTTGTTTTTCCCATTATTCCACACTATAGGTCTTCCACTTTCAAAGTCAGTAGACTTTCTGCTATCTCATGCTTCATCCAAGAGCAAACTCTATTTTTTCATTAAGGTCAGCTAAAGTCCTTTTTGAACATGGTACAATGGTAGATCCCTAGATTAAGAGTCAAGAAATTTGAAAATCTGTCATCTATCTATGTGGTCTTAGGCAATTCTCTCTCCTTATCTGGGCCTCAGTTCAACAAATGGTAAAACCACAGAATAACAGATTTAGAGATAGAAGGGATTTTTTTATGTCATTAAGGAAACTGAGTCCTAGGAAGGTAAAATGATTGACTCAAGGTCATATACACAGTAAGTGATAGAGTCAAGATCTGAAATTGATTCCTCTGATTCCAAATAGTGCTCCTGATTGTAATGGATGATCTCAAAGACCTCTTCCAATTCTAGTCCCCTGCCTGAACCTTAGTTTCTTTATCTTTAAAATAAGGGATTTGGGAGTAGGGGGTCTCTAAGATACCTTTACACACTATGTAGGGACATTTTTATCTTCTCTATTATCAGGCCTTATAATAATTTACTGTGTTGATACCAATAGCAAAATTAGAAAAAGTCTAAGGTCAAGTGAATCTATGGGGGTCTCAGTCTAAAATGGATTAAGAGCCTCAACAGCTAATACATTTCTCCCAGTACTATGAAATGAAATTTAAAATGTCTTCCACCAAAATTTAGCTGCTGCTCTTGTCTAATGTTACCATTATTGTAGTTATCATACCTGAGAATGTGGGGGGAACCACTAAGGGTTGGAAAGAGTATCATGAGAGAGCGAGGAAGATAATCAAAGTGATGTAACATAAAACATTCTATAGAGGTGTGATAGTTGGGGCCTGGAGAGAGAGATGATCATCCATTGAAAATATAACCAAGGCTTTGACTCTGCTTCACACTAGTGGTATCAAACTCAAATAGAAACAGGGCCAGTAAACAGTATGTAAGAATCCCTGTGAGTTACATATTGAATAGAAGAGGAAAAAAAATATTAAAATTATTTATGTTCCATTGCATTTTTATTTATTTTATTAAATATTTCCATACTTCTTTTTAATCTGGTTCAGAATACCCTGGAGTATGGCCAGTGACATGTGGTCCATGGGCTGAGTGTTCGACCACCTCTAATTTACACTATAAATAGACAGGAGGGTTTGGATATTTGGAAAATTTGGAAAGGAAATTTGGGGAAGGAAACTCCAATAGATTTTGAAGTGAAAACATCATTCATTGACCTCAGTTTCCTGAACTATAAAATGGAGGCATTACATTAGGTGGCCTCCAACATCCATTATAATTCTGTATCTATGATCTTTGATGGCAAAAAGATTAACAGAAGTCATTGATGCCTTAAGAGGTTCATAGTTCTTATTAATATGTAGTACATACTTGTATATACTACATAATAATATATAGTGTACATACATATTTCACATTAATGTGTACATACTCATATGTGTGCCTTAATTAAAACATGTTAATGAATATATATGTATGCACATATAACAATTGATAAGCATCTTCTTTGTAGGCAGCATTAATGCTCACCAGCCTAACAAATCACAGATTTTTGATTATGTAAATTCCATTGCAAAAATAAATCAAACTCATTTTTAGTCACATCTATTTGAGTGATAAATACAAAGACATAAAAGAAAACACATGCCTATAATATTTATAATTATGAGGAGTCAGCTTTCTACACAGAGTAAAGCATATTGGTTTTTGACTCATGGGACCTGGTTTCAAAGCCCACCTCTGACTATCTGTACGATTTGGGGCAATTTAGTTAACCTCCCTGGGATTCAGTTACTTCAGATATAAAATTAAGGGATTTAATTACATGATCTCTAAGGTTCCTTCAATCTCTAAATCTATAATTCTATGTGGGAATTTTCAGTAACAATTGATCTATTTTTAGTATTGTATAAAAGTAGGTATTGTAAGATATTCCAAAATATTTACTGGATTTATGTGAATTACAAAGGAAATACCAAAGACAATGTACTTTAAAATTTAGATTTTGAAATGTCTGTGATTTAGTAGCAATGGAGACACATTCTTCTTTATTAACTTTATCTTAAAACTTATTCTTAAAATGAAAGAATTATTGTTTTTTTTCTCAGTATAAAAAGGTGCATTAACACCCCTAAAGGCAAAGTTACAAATGAGGTGCAGAAGACTACTCAGTTGATTTCAGCCTAATGCTCCTAACTAAAAAGTAGTGTTCTGTTCCTTGGAAAAGTATTCAGAACATAGCAACTTTTTTACAAGTGATCCTCCAAAAAATTGGACCAATTTACTGCTGTTTTGTTTTATGGGACTTTTTTCTTTTGATCCTCAAGATAATGAAAAAATGTGATCCTCTGAAAACTGCTGGCTCTTCGAAGGACTTTCAAGACGTGCTGATGTAGAGTGATAGAATTATTTCCAAATTCAGACCAAAGGGAAATTACCCAAAAATATACTTGGTATTTAATTTAAGAAAATAATTTCCAAAACTAATTGTATAAAACTAGGTGAAATAAAAATAAAAATTGAAGCCTGTTTCTATTATATAACTGACCTAGAAATCAGCTTGTAAGGCTGAGATCATGCAGTCATTTTCTACTTGTCTCCTATATAATGGTTATATATTTAGGTCCCAGATTTTGCTATTCAGCTGATATTTCTGTTTTCCAGAAATTAGAATCTCTCAGGTCCAGGCTTTACCAATGGAAAAAGAAAGATCTCCTATTAACCTAGTATCTCCTCCCGACTTTGATGCCCCTTTGCATAAGAAGTTAAAGAGGCTTTTAATAGTGATAAAGCCCCCAGCCCAGATTCACAGGTTTAGCTGTATTATTCCACCCCATGAGGACTAGCCTCGTGGAAAACAAAAGCAAAAAGTGGTTCTGTCAGTATTTTTCCATGCAGGATCAGAAGGATATAACTTTCATCCTTGTTCCAGGTGGGGAGGGGAGCTTTGAGTCACTTAGGGACTGGCGTGGTGGTCTTGACTGTCAACATGCATTCATTTGGGCTTGCTGTGTTCCACAGTAATTGGGAATCAGAGATGATGTACAGCTGTTTAGGCTCTTGGTCCAGAAACTTCACTGAACTTCACTTACTACATGTGGGACTGCTAGTCAATAGCTGTTCCTCGTTATCCTTGTAATAAACCTTTTTCTCTATAAGTTTAAACCTCTCACTTCCTTTCTGGAAGCTCTTAATTAGAAACAAGTTCTGATTGGCTTGTCCATCAGGCTAATTCAAAGTCCTTATCTTGATGTGCTCTAATTAATAATATAATACTAAAGATAATAATTCAGATTTAAATCCTGCTCTGTGGGCTCCAGAACACTTTAAACATATTGTCTCATTTCATCCTTAACACAACCCTGTAAGGTAGATACTGCTATTATTACCATTTTATAAATGAAGAAATTGAGGCTAAGATATGTTATAGGGTCACACAGCTTTTAGATGTCTGATGCTGGGTTTGAACCCAGGTCCTCTGATGTCCAAGTCCAGCACTCTGCCCACTACACCAGGCATGCTTCTCAAATATGTAAGTAAATAATATACTCAAAACTCCAAGGAAGATCAGTAAATCACATGGCATCTTGATAGTTATTTTCACCCTTCCAAAAACAGACAACAGAGAACTAAAAGGATCATGGATACATTTTGAAAAACTCAAATAGGAATTTTATATCCCTGGCAATGGAAAATGAACTTTCATTACAGAAGACATAATAGTTTTCATAGCAATAATTATTAATAAAAAAATTACTGAAATCTGGAAAAAAACAATGTTGTGGAAATCAGTGAGACTACATCAAGGCAGTTTACCATTAAGTACATGATTTTGATGACTTTTTTTTCCAGAAAACTAAAAATCATCTCATTAAAAACACAAAGAAAAAACAATTCGTTCTATTTTTAATTAAATTGGAAAGTGGTCCTTTCTCCTTCGGTGATACTTGACATTCCATTTGTAGTGTCTGATACATAGTAGGCTCTTAATAAACATTTTCCTACTGAATGATTGACAAAGTCCATAGGAAGATATCCTCATCTATTTACACCAAAGTCAAAGACTTGGCAACCCTGAAGAAAGTCCCTGGCCCTGTCATGCCACATCTGGCTAATTCAGGAAACAGAAACAGAAGAAACAATTACAAATGACCACAAA